GGTTGGCGCGGGGGGCGGGGTGGATGGCTGGCCCTGCCCGGAGGTGCCCGAGGGCAGGGAAGCACCGCCGGGCCCGGAGCGCATCCCTAGGGAGCGTGCACGGGATGACGGGAGCAACCGTTTGGCTGCCAAGTGGCCCTAGCTGGCCCCAAATGAGGAGGGGTTTTGGCACATGCAGACCAGACCGTAAGCAAACTCACGCATTAAAACAGCACCTCCTTCACTGTCGACTCTGCTGCAGGTTAAAGCATCACTAGTTTTCAGAGTGAACGGTCAGGCCAGTGAGATGTCCTGAGGGAATTTGACTTGGTGGGGGGGGTCTACACGGCAATGCCGTGACACCCCCTCGTGGGTCCACAGATACAGCCCGGGCAGCCCCTTGGCCTTGGCGCGCGGATGTGCTCCCGCGTTCTGGGAGATCAGGAAACACTGAAACATGAGTTAGTCGCCTGTCCCCGGGGGGGCTGGTGGCAACACGGACGTCACAGCTCGGTGAGCAGCACATGGAGGGGCTGGGACATCATGGCCAGGAGCGTAAGCAAACGCAGGCCTTAAAACAGTGCATCCTGCAATCGTTAACGGCGCTGTGGGTTAAACCATTACTAGTCTTCAGAGTGAACGGTCAGACCAATGAGACATACTGCTACATTGAGTTACCACATGCAGAAAGAGGAGCGAAACACATTTATTAAGCTGAGTACGAGATGTTAAATCAATACGCGTGGCTGCTTAACTGGCACCCGTGATGGAAAGGTGCCAGCACCCGGCTCCGCGTGTGGCCCCAGCCCCCAGCTCCACGTCAGGAAGGCCCTGGCACCCGGCTCTGCCTCGGGAAGGCTCCGGCACCCGGCTCCATGCTGGTCCCGCTCCCGCCTTTGGGATGCTCTTTCCCCAGCCGGGCTCGTCGCGCTGGTGCGGGACAGGGAGCGGGACGGGGCCGCGCAGAAGGGGGAGCGCAAGGAGGGCGCTCGTCGCCCCTGGGGCGGGCGCAGCGACGTTCCCAGCTCGGCCGCTTGTGGGAACGTGCCTTTTCCAGGGAAGAGCTGCGCTATTTTTAGCGCGCTCCTTGAGGGGGCGTCTCCGGAGAGCGCGAGCGCCCAGCCCGCGGCAGCCCCGGAGCCGCAGCGCAGCCCCGGCACGTTCCCTAGCGCGGGAGGAGCAACATCTGGGAAAAGGGGCCGAGGGGGCAGCTCCCACGCACGCCTGCACGCCGGGGCGCAGCTATTCCCTAAAACAGCTCCCCCTCCGCTGCATTTTGGGATGCTTGCGCTCCGGAAGCATCCGGAAAACAGCTCGTGCCTGGGGACTGCGGAGAGCGACGGCTTAGGGACCAGCCTTGGAAGTGAGGGCGATGCGGGAAAACGATCTCATTTCCTATCCCAGCCCAGAACCGCTTCCAGATGTGGTTAGAAAAATGCCTTTTTTTTTTTTGGCAAAAATGAAGCAGAGATCTGTCCTGGGTTAAAAGTGAAGGTTTTTTTTTTTCTCTCTCTCTCTGATTTCACGTTTTGATTTTTTCTTCTACAATCTGACAAACAAAATGCAGGGAATCCATGAGAGAATGACTGAGAAAAAAAGGAGAGGAAAGGAATCACGCTGCGAACTAAAGTTGTTGAGCCGGTGACTCAAAGCTGGTTTTGGAAAATCCAGCAAATTTGGCCTCTGAGTGCAGCTCCCACCACATCCAAGCCCTGCCTTTAAGTAAATCCCATTAGCAGAAAATGCTGCCGAGAGCCTGGGGACAGGGCCGGGGCCTCCGGCTCCGTGTAGGATCTCGGGAGCACCTAGGAACAGGCGCTGCCCCTATGGGGATCAGGGATCCCGTTTTCCTGAAGTCCCGGCCCAGCGCGCACGCTTACACTGGGATCCGGTCTGCTCCCCCTTTGGATCAGAGGGTAACAAGGAAGATACAGTGATAGAGAAAGCACAGGATTTTATTTGAACGTGTAAGATTTCCAGAAACAAATCTCTTTTTTTGTTTCTTTAAATGATCCTTGCCTGGATTTCCAATGACAGACAAAACCCCACAAGTAAAAGGATGCGGAAGGTGAGCACCATGGTGGCACCACCCCAGTTGATGGTAGGTTATAAAAGAGAACAGCAGAAAAAAAGAAAAAAAAACAACAAAAACTAGCCGATCTCGCATTTTTATTTTCAACATCCCAGATACTTAAATCTAAACATCAGAATGCCATGACGCAGCCAGCACATGTGAATAACTTAGGTGTCCAGCAAGACTCGCTCTGTACACGGAGGGTTATTTAAGTGTTGAAATGCAACTACCACAAAGTATGAGCTAACAGGCGAATTAGGAATCGGAAAGATCCCCAAAGAGATCTTTTTGCACAAAAGAAATCAAAGCAGAGGATTTCCCACCATTCCAGTGTTGGGTTAGTATGGCTATTTTAAAAACAGAATATAATTAAAGTATTTTTTCATCATGATTTGCCATGAGATCAAAAGAATAACAGGGATTCAATGGGTCAGATGTCCTAGAAGAATTTCAGCTGAGCCCTCCCATTTCCTACCTGCAGGCAAGTCCATGGTTACATCAGACTCCAGGCACCCGTTTCACTTACTTTTGGTTCCCTTTTTAAAATCTGCCCCTTGTGGGGCTTCCCAGATCGTTTCCAAAACCCTGCATAGCCCTTCCCAAGCAGGAATTTGAACGCAGCCTTTGGGAAGGACAACATTTTAAACACGATGTCACTACAGGCTGCATTTTTAAGGCCACAAATTTGTATTTTTGAAGAATCCTCATTTTGCATTATAAATTGATACCGAGGCTTTCTTTGTAAGCATCTCTAATTGCTATACATATAAAACGCTTCAATTTCACTAAACTATTAAGCTAAGGCAATTATTAAAGAGTCCAAACCAAGATCGTCAAAAAAAGGTAACGTCCGACTTGTAGTTTGGAAATGACTTTTCCCCACTTCTCCCACCTCCCCAGACCTTCCAAAAAGGGGCACAGACTCCCCCCGGCCGGCGGGGAACGTCCCCCTTGGCCAGTCCCGCTGCTCCCGGGGCTCCGGCCGGCGCCGCGGGATCGTAGCGGATTCAGGGTGTAACAGGCGGCTCGCGTCAGGCACGCGGCTGGCTGATGGAACAGCGCGGAATACAAAAATACCGGTATAACGGGGGGGTATCAAAGAGCACAGAACCAGAACGGTTTTATTACCATAAGAGCAGTTTATATACAGACCCCCAGGGAAGATTTTTTTTTTTTTTTAATTCTCGCTATTAATCCCAAATAGTGTACAGTCTAAAAAACCCTGCAAAAGAACGGTACAAACCTACTTTAATCCCTACATTGTCTACGCAGGCGGCACCAATCCTCTCTCGCACACAAAAACATGTTATAAATAAATCCCACAAAATGTCGTGTATGTTTTATTGCACATTGTACATGCCAATACCTAAAAGAAAGGCTCAAACCCTTCACTTGGTAACTAACAGTTAAAATACCTAGCAGTTACTCGCACTATGAAGACTATGGCATTTTTCAGGATCTAATTTGGCCAGATAAATTAAAAAAACACAGAGCACAAAATATGCCTGGAACTATGTACTTTGTGGGAAAGAAACAAACCTCTTTAATTTTACTGTTTTCCACCATATAAAGTCATTAAAAATATTTGACCTAATTAAAAAAATTCTGTTTCAAAATTTCTGCATTTTTACTATAAAATTGAGCTAAGCATGTAACTGCTTGTATAATCAATCATACATGCCTTCTGTTTGGCAAAATTAGATGCTCCTGTGCTGTATTTACTGAAAGAAGAAGTTATCTGTGTCCTAGTGTTGATTATTGAAGTTAGTGTTTCAGCCCCAGGCCTGCCGGTCTCTCCAAGGGTGGCGAACGGGGCACCCCTCGGAAGACCAGCACCGCTCGGTATAAACAGACGACGGGCACCAGTTACCAAGAAACATCACGATCCTTTATAGTTTCTGTTAAGCAGAGCTCTAGTCTAAGGAGTATGAGTAATTTGTCATTAATATATGTGGTTTTATGGTAGGTACGCTGCACTAAAATATGGCCACTAAAGAAGGAGAACGTCTCATGGCTAACAGAGCTGGTAAAAAAAATAAATGTCTCACTGGGCAAAAACCTGCATTCTGCGGGTTAAAACTACGGTTAGAAAGTCAATTGATCAAATATTTAGTCAAGGCTTTCCAAAGCTACTCGCCCCCGGCAGCTTCAGAAAGGGATCAAACGGGCAAACCCAAACCTGTAAAATTGCACTGCTACAAAGGAACGAGTCCGTGGGGGGACAGCGGCCGCCGCGCTTAGGGGACGGCCACCTCGAGGAGCCGGTTGTTTTTTCGCTTGCAAGTCGGGATGTTGCCATTTTTCTGGCTGCCTTGGATGAACTTCACGCACACTTTATCCTGTCTGAACTGGACCAGAAACCTGGGAGAAGGAACAAAAGGTGTTTCCAGTTAAAGGCGGGAAAAACAACACACGAGCAGCAGAAATCTGTCCGGAAATCCTTCCTTCCACGAGCTCCTGTGTCTGCAGAAAGACACTTGCTACTGCGTCTCCACAAGTGTTCACGACACGACAAGTGTTTGTAATGCCCCCAAGAGCAAAAAAAGAAGGTAGATCTTTACAGACCTACAGCATTAGCACCACTGTTCTGCATGTTTAGAGGAAGGTGTTCTGCATTTGTTTTTGTGTTTTCGCTAGAACTTGGCACCTGGGGTCGCACTTTGACTACAAAGCAAACACCTCATAGGAACAGGTCCACTTGGACTAAAATGAAGTATTTCGTAGGAATATACGAAGCTTCTAGTCACACACAAAAAGATTTTTTTTTAAATTGTAGTATACCTTTGCTAACACAGCAGTTCTGTCTCATAACTGTATTTGAAACTACTGTAAGGACATTTTCTCTAGTGACTTTCAAGGAAGCAAGAGCCAAATGAACGCCAGAAATGAGCGCACATAGAAACCTGGACCCTTATTTACAGTTAATCTGTAAAGAGAAAGGAAATAGGAGCTGCACAACAGATTTTATCGCTCTACCATCAGATGCTGCAGTTTTTAGCACGCCACCCGGGAGGGAGCAAGCGGGACACGTACTCATCAGAGATCTCGATGTTGAGCTTCTGCTTGGTTTGGCTGAGCGTGGTGCGGTAGAGCTTGGTGGCCATCTCAATCAGGTGATCGCTGCTGAGCAGGAAATCCCCTTTGCCAGCTGCTCCGGAGCCCTGGGACGGAGAGGAGAGCAGTGAGGATGGCCAGAGCCCGGACACGGCGGAGCAGCGTGGCGGGGAGCTGAGGCATTAGAAACCGGTAAAGGGCCATTCCCTAATGGGAAACTCCAGTCCTGGAGAGGCCACGTCAGGAAACCGAGGCCCTGTGTTCACAGGGAAGTTGCCGCTCAGGACGTGGTCACTGCCCTCCTTTGGCTGTTTTACATCCATGTTTTCTGGAGCTACAGCAAGGGGTCAAAAATAGCACCCTAAATCCACAGGCTGACCCCGTTCATATAATTCCACAAGGTAATTAATACCCAATTTTTACGTCGCTGTGTGTAGAACAGATGTCTACCATGAAACTGCAACCTACCTCCTTGAGGTGCACCGCAAAGAAGCCGTCGTTTTGGGAGCTCATGGACACTTTAGTGACATCTCCCAGGGGAACCTCTGACTTGATGTTTCCAGACTTCTGATCCGCAAGGAGAACATTGTTTTTTGTTAGCAAGAAAATCCTAGATGTGGCCTGCAAAAATAATAATAAAAAAACCCCAAATTCTTACCTACACCAAGAGAGAACTGGTCTTTACTGCGGGCACTAGGAGCAAAAGCAGATCGTACCATTAAGACACTTGGCCCACAGGAGTAAACACAAACATCCAAAGTTCAGGAAAAGCTGCAGATCAGTGAAAATTAGGTCAAATTTGTGTGTGTGCCTAATTATAGATTGAGGAGCTTAGCTTATGTTGGCACATATGCTTCCATATAAACAGTTTCTTTAATTCCTAGCTTATAGCTACAAAATCCAGAAACTGAAACCCAGGAAGTCGGTGATGAGGATGACCCTCATTTCATTTCTCAAGCTCCGTCAGGCTCCAGAATAACCAAATGTATCTTTCCAGGGACACTGCATTCAAATACATAGTTTCATGACAATTCAATTGATTTTTTTCTTTTTTTTTTTTTTTATTTTATATCTTTCCGGCGACAGATAATTCAAATAGACAGTTTCATGACAATTCAATTATTTTTTTAAATTCTTTTTCCCCATAGAATCTTAAAGAAAAAAGAAATAACCATGGTAGTTAAATTGTGACTGTCTTAAGCACACAGATCATAGCTCATTAAGATAATTCCCTTTCTAAAAAAAGAAGAGAGCTTGACAGCTCTTGACCCTGCAGGTATGAGAAAGATATTGTCTTCATTTAATTAGGTCCTCCTACACTTAAAAATTAATTTGGTGTCAACAAAAGACAACCTGATTTCACTCCTACAATGCATAAATGAAATGCAACGCTGAGATCTACTAGTTGTGACATTGAGTTAAATACGGTGACAATTAAATTGACTAAAAAAGGATAATGCTTCCTGTTTTAATAAATGCAAAGCAAGCTTCATGCTTGATGGAAGGGGGCAAAAAAGGTACCCAGCATACTTAACAGCTGTATTTAAATGATGAATAAAACCTGTCTTTTCATCCCAAAATGCTGCTGATTCGATCGTGAGATGACAGGAACAACTAACCAAGGATTCCACTCACAATTTTATAATGGAATATGATGGGATAAAGAAAGGCAAAGGTTATGTTTTCCCAATACTTGCACAAGGCCATTTTCTAAATATTTACTTTCCAATTGCCAAGCAGTAGACCCAGCTTTAGCACAAAGCCCACATTTGGCTTTGTCAATCAAGACAGACTGCCACCAGCCGCTTTTGCTTGGAAAAGTTACCAAAAAACTACAAACCCAAAGGAAGTTTAATATTTTTTTGTTCTTACCTTGCCGTTAGCCCTGTTGATTTTGTTCACGACCTCGGCGATGATGATCTTCTCGTCCACAGCATCTTTGAGCTTTTTGTACTTGGGGTTCTGGCTGATTTCCAGGTAGGCCCCTTGGAAGGGCTGCCCGACGCTGCAGGGGAGGAAGGAGCGCTCAGGGGCATCCCGGAGCGCCGCGGCCGCCCGGCACGGCCACGTTGCGCTTCACGCTCTCCGGAGCCAAAAGCCGCCCCCAACGGCACCGTCAAGAACCCTATTCTGAACTAAGCAGCTCGGAAACCTCTAGGATCGTTTCTGCCCATTTTACACTACAGCAAGGCACCAAACCTTAATGGCACAATCCTGGTGAACAGGAGACATTTCTCACGTAAGTTCCTAGTAGGATTTTTATTCATTTTTTTCCTATTCTGGAAATGTTTTCAAATTACACAGGCCGAACGGCTATGGAGAGCGAACACAAACACGTGCTCGGATGCACAATCAGCTTTGATTTACGGTTGGACTCGACCTGGAAGGTCTTTCCCAACCTTAGGGATTCCACGATGTGCAATCCCTCAAGAGCAGCCTGTGTTTGCGGAGACAGAGGAAATGCATCTCACGAGAGGCCGGCGGCTCTGCTCCCCTGCAGCACTTCACAGAGCAGCAGGCAAGAACCTGCTCTGAGAGCTGCTTTTGCCTGTTAAACACGTACCCAGTTCATTAAGACGTTCGCTTTAACCAATCATTTTGATTAAATTACTGTCAAAATACTAAATGCAAAGTGCTGCCAGGACGGTGCCAACCAGTCCATCATGTGGAGCTGCACTGCCTGGTAATGGCATCCCTGGCACGCAGGCAGGGGCGAGAGAAAAGGAAGGGGATTTCAGCACGCAGGAGAAGTCCCTACGTGTCCTTAAATAACTATATTACACGTGGAAAATTAGCCAGCTCCTATGAATCACTATCATAGTAACTGATCAGAAACTTTATACAACAATTTCCTTCACTCATAGGCCAATAAAAACATAACAGTAGCTAATCAGCTCTGAAAACAGCTTACAAGAGAAAAAAAGAGAGGAAAATGTTTCTAAAATTGTGAGGGGGAAGGAAAGTATTCCAACTTTTTTACTAATTTGGAGTGAAAAATACAGCAAAACACACAAGTATCCAAGCAGAGCTTGTCTGCACATGGAGTTGTGCCCACCAACTCTTCCCGACTCCTGTTCCCCTCTCTGCTGAATGCTGTTCCCAAATAACAGTGCCAGAATATCCCACTCAGCTCCAAGTGTTGCATCTGAAAGAACTTGCCCCATGGACCAACGAGACCTTTGTTTTGAAGAGAAACACACCTCCTAAGCTCATATTCACTCAGAAAGTTCAGCTTGACTTCTTTCACAGGCACCACGACTCTATTTTGACAGCTTAAGTGCATGCAACAAATCTGCATGTTGCTTAAGTACACAGACTGCTGCAATTCCTTACACAATGAGCAGATAGCAATGACAAGAAGTCATCAGTTTTTAGGCATTTAGTAATCTGAGACATTAGAACTTATCAGTCGACACTTTCATAAAATCATAGAATCACAGGATGCTTAAGGTTGGAAGGGACCTCTAGAGATCATCTAGTCCAACCCCCTGCACACGCAGGGTCACCTAGAGCACGTGGCACAGGACTGCGTCCAAGCGGGTTTGAAGATCTCCAGAGAAGGAGACTCCACAACCTCTCTGGGCAGCCTGTTCCAGTGCTCTGGCACCCTCACTGTCAAGACATTTTTCCTTAAGTTCCTTTAAGGAACTTTAAGGAACTTTTGGTGCTTCAGTTTCCGGCTGTTTCCTCTAGTTCTGTCGGTGGCCAACAGTGAAAAGAGGCCAGCACCATCCTTCTCACTGCCTCCCTTGAGGTACTTATAGATGTAAATTATCTATCTCTAATAAAAAATAATAGTGGAAATAACCTCTTAAGCAATGTCTTAATGTGTTTTTCCCCCACTGCTAGTGTCCCTAGTCTTTGCATTCAATGCCCACGTGCCAAGCCTGGGCAGGAACAGGAGCGCACTGCTCCCCAGCACCGTCCCCGCTCCGAGTGACGCTGCCACTCGGCACCTCTCAGCCTGCCCTGCACCCAAACCAGTGCCATGGAGCCAGGGGAACGGATGAGTTAATCCTCTCTGCACGTTCTCCAACTCTTTACCATGCAAACAGCTCATGGAACGCTCCCTGGTGTTGCTCCGACTAGGGAACACACTTTATTTCTTAAGGTAAGGCAGGAAATCATATTTCATTTCCTAAATCTACGCAGAGGTATGGAATTGATGGTACATTAAAAGCAGCACACCAGAAGATGTCATTACCTGGCTGGGTATAAAGCCTTTTTATCCTTGAAAAGCTCACTCGCTTCCAGTTTTTCTTCATATATAAGCTTCTGTTGATCTGTGAACTGGTCTCTGTACTTTTTACACTGCAAAACACAAGATGTTAAACAAACCATAAATTGTCCTGCATAATCTGGTCTGAGGCAGGAGCACCCCGCACTGCTAGCTGCTTCTTGCTCAAGATGCACATTCTCAGTATACTTGTGGGGTGACTCAGCGCCGTCCTACAGCCCGCTACGGCGCAGCAACCAACGCGGCCGCACTTTGCCTCTTCACCCATTCTAGATGCTTCTGATTACACTGAAACAAGCTGTAAAATCTCATGCAGGTGTGTTTGAGCATGCATTAGTCATAATCTGAATCCATCCGATTCCTTGCTAAGGAAATATGTAGAGCAGCAGTGGTGGAACTTGAGGCAAGCAGATGTAAAGAGCAAAACATATGCAAGAACATGAATTTTCTAGGTTCAAATAAACAAAAAAAGAAAACCTTCACAATTCACAGGAAACACAACCCACTAAATCAGGAAAATGTCCCATCAACACTTAGATGAATATATAGATTCTCGCTGTTCTCTCCAGCCAATGATTCAAAACAAACTTCAGTTAAGTGCAGCTTGTAAGTAAAAAAATTCCACTGAGTGCTTCCAATACTGATGTGACACCTAGTGCCATAGACACGGACGTTACAAGGCACCAATTAACAGGCAACATGCACACTGGCTTCATATCAAGCTAAACGTTGATGTCAGGAAGCATTCCTCTGCCCTAGATGCAGGAAACTAGCCAGTATAAGTTGTGTCCCTGAAGACAAAAGAAACAGCTCTTCCAGAGAAATAAAAACCTCCCGGCTAGAACAGGGAGAAATACTTCCTAAAAACGGGCTCTTCGTGGACAAAACAAAGTTATTGAAAATCATGTGAGATCAAGTTGCAGATAGACTCGACCAGAATGTACCGTACCCTCCACAGATGGAAAATCCTCTTTAGCTCCTTGTGAGTTGAATCCAAGAAAAGGTAAGGTCTTGCTGGCCAGTTCTTATCTATTGGTGATAGAGAAGGCATCTTATTCTTCATTTCCAAGAAGTACTTTTGAATCTGTGATAAAATTGAAACAAGATGTTTTATTAATCCTCAAACACCAGCGCTATTGAAATAAGCAAGAAAAAGCAGATGCTCTAACTGCAACCCTTGGCTTCAGGAAACCTGAACATGAATTAAAAAAGCCAAGAATATCAAAAAATACTGATTCAGATACAATAAGAGCTCGATAAATGCTTAGTTAGTGCCATTCCTATACTGTAATGATACTGTTTTTTCCTTACAGCACAACTGCATTTAGTGTCCACTTTCCATTTGCTTAACTTGGACACTTGTTTACAAAGAGGCCTTTACGCCTTACTCTATTATTTTTGCTAGAAAACAAGTTTTTAGAAACACAGATGTTACATGCGTTGTGTGGATATATACATACAATTCTCTGAAGGGTAAATTCATAAATTTTTCTTCCAGCATTGGCTCTGAAGAATTTCCTGTACTCTCTGCGGACCTGAAAAATGAAACAAATCCCCAAAGTGAATACCAAGAAACTGATTTGTTGCCACTTTTATTTAATAAAGCTCTATAGTGGAAAGAGGAAAAAAGTATGTGAACGTGCAAAGTGCTCCCCAAGAGTAGAATACTAGGTGGGTCACCTAAAAACGTATGAATCAGACCATGCACCAAAATGTAATAAAGTTACCTCAGATGACCTGAGCACAGTTGTTTCATGTTTAAAAACATGATAATTTTAAATATTTGCCTTTAAAATGGCAAGATATTTAAATACTATTGAACTCACTTCATTCTGAGGCTATTTTCTCATGCTTTGGCACAAAGCTAAACTGCAAAAAAAGTGGGGTATCTTTAGCAACACGTGTTTTATCGCATCTGAAGCGACACTGAACTCGCCAAGCGCTCATCACAGTTGACAGCTGTGCTGCTTCTGATCACTTGTTCCTTTAGGATGCTGAATGCACAGAGTTCTATATATAATGTATAATACTATATACTGTAATGGAAAAACTACAACCTGTAATAAAAAAGGGATTTTTTTTTTCCTTTTCAGAGCAAACTGATGCATGAAGATCTATTCACACAAGCAGTCTTCCAAAAAAACACAAGTTTTTGGTGTTTGGTAAGAGCAGGGTATTAACGCACCTGTTAGGACAGTGAGCTTGATATTTGCTACAAAAGTTTACTCAGGAATTATCAGAGTGATTACTGAGAACCAACTTTACAGGTGATAATATTAAAATATATATATATACACACACACACATATACGTGTGTGTATACATATATATATACACATATATATATTTATGCATTCTTATACTAATCTTTTCCAAGCTTTGGCATAACGTGGAACCCACCTGCTAAAAGGTTTGAGCAGAAACCAGGAAAAACATCGTGGTTTTGCATAACCTCCCCCAGAGCAAATGTAGTGGTTGGAGCTCCCTTGCTGCATGCTGGGGAGTTCATTGGAACCGAAAAAAATAAACTCACAGAAGAAAAATCCACTTTGGCTTGGAACAAAAAGTTCCCTGGGCTTCTCCTGGCAAACCTGCCGCCTGTGCCAAGGGCTGAATATCCAACACAAGCAGTTGGAAAACAAGAACCTGTCAGGAATCTGCCACCCTTCTGGAATAAAACCTGCAAACACACAGGCTTTTTTTGACTATACATTAAGAGGCATCGACAGAATTGACAGCATTCAGCCTCTTCATTCTGTTCAAAAATGACACGTTTTTTTGATTCCTGACTTCACACGAAAAAAAATATTCGACTTCTTGTACACTGAATTTCTGTGAGATTTAGTGCTACTTTGCATATAGCCCTTATTTATTCTCCTGGGAGGGAAATCAATGCACTCAGACCTATCCCAGCTATCTCATCCCACATCCCCCAGTGTCCTCAAAACTTCTGTTTAATGACATCTACCATATATATATATTTTTTTTTTGGTAAATATTTAACCCTTTTTATCATTACAACGAGAACACAGGAGCTGGACTTTTCTCTACATTATCAAGTAAATTGCTCTCTTTGATCCTCCAACACCCCTGAATCCTCCAGCAGAATTCAGGCAGAAGGGATACCGAGCCCAAACTCATGTAGAATTCGGTAGTTCCTCAGGATTGCTTTACTAATACCACGGCTGAAAACCTCAAGTGAGCAAAAGTGCATCGTGCAAATCAGTCTGCAATAGCTGCAGTGTCCCTCCACGGAGCACAGAGAACTGTCACCTTCAGCAGCACCCAACAACTGCTGCCTTTAGCCCAGGCCCCGGGGTGAGGGGCTCTGATCTGAGCGGCACTAAGTGTCCAACGGCTCTTCCCTCCTTCCCAGCTAAACACGCAGGGGTCACAATAAGAAAATACAGGCTTGTAATCCTCCCACATGGGATCTTTGCCAGGGTAGGTCCAATTTTAAGCCAATAACTGTAACGGAGTCCCTCCGATTTGGTATTTGTCTCTGGCTGGAACTTTCAGTATGACAATATATCAGGGCAAAAGAAAACACTCCTACTGTGACAATAATATAATATAATATAAAATGATATGATACAATATGATATAAAATGATATGATATGATACAATATGATATAAAATGATATGATATGATATAATATGACACAAAAACACCATGCCCAGATACCCTTGTACCTGGCGGCATTACACGCCCATGCAGCTTACGCGTTTTTCAGGAAAGGTCGTGGCAAAAGCAGCAATGTCACTTTGTGTCCCACCCTGCTGGCCAGTCCCCGCCCCGCTGCTGGTGTCCTAGGGGTTAGTAGGGTGCCCCGGCGCAGGAGGGGTGTTGGAGGAAGTACCTTCAGTCCAAGCCAGTAAGCCCAAATGACAGCAGCAGCATGCCTGCGCCTAGCCGCCTCCTTCAAGCGGGTCAGCTCCCTGCGAGCCTGCAAGGTTGGGACAGGGAACAAGAGACAGCCGCTGCAGGCAGCGCACAACCAGGAAAGGCGTCTCCCAAACACGACAGCCAACTCGCAGTTCACGCACGCAAAGCTAAGACCCCTTAACAGCCCCACGTGCCGGCGGGAAACGGGGCGAAGCCGCGGACGAGGGCCACGAGCGGCGCGGAAGGACGAGCACCTTGGCAGCCCCGCTCCTGGTGAGCCCTGCTGGCGTCTTAGCTGCCTGCAGGCGGTACCGGGGGGAGCTCCACTCTACCCGAGAGCTTCCCCTGCACCTGCACCACCAGACGACGTGCGTGAAAACCAGCCCTCGGGAAAACCTTGCTGTCTAGTCAGTTTGTCTTTGCACAGGTGCTTGGGCGTACCAAAAATACCTCTGCAATTGTGTACCTACATGAATGATGAATCCAGTGATTCTGCATTGCACTGATGGCTTTTTATTCTGCAGGGGTTTTTTGATTTTTACGTACATTAAAAAAGGAAACCCTCCACCCTGGCGAATTATCCTCTCTATGGAATGGTGTGGTAAACCCCCCAAGCACGGTGCCTTTCTCATATACAAGCAAAAAGATAGGCACCTACCTACCATTCATCAATAATTCTCATTTTAGGAGAGCAAAGGCATGTGTAGGCCACTCAACAGCAGCTTTTACCCTATCCCAAAAGCTTTTGCTCCTCAGTTATTCAGTGCTAAAAATCAAGTAGAATAAAGAGCACCTGCCACGTGAGCAGGGCGGGAAGCGAACGCTCCAGCTCCGTAGCTGTTCTGAAAGCAAGCGACCTCGGAAGGCCCTTTCAGAAACTTTGGGTTTGAATGTTCTCCTGGGAAAGGACAAAACATGATGCCATTAGCAAGCATCATTTTTATCAGGTACTTTTGAGGAATAAGGAGAGGAAAATATTTAAGGAAAATAAGGCTTTTTTTTTCCCCCCAGGAAATTCCTGTGAGCCAAATGATAAAAAACACTGCTAAAAAAAAATCCAAATCTATATGAAATATCTAAAAGAGGAGCATTAATACAGAACTAGTAGTTATTGTGTCACTTTCTGATCTTGTCCTTCTAATCTCTGAAGACTCAAGTCTCTTGGGTGAGAGAAATTCTGAACATGTTTATTTTCTGATTCCCAGGATTGTCATTTCTTTCCAGATCTAATGGATTTGTACCCAAACGGCAGAGGTCTGATGGGATCTGAGCAGCGCCTCTTCGTCCAGTTTGCAACAGTGTTTATGAGTGTATGGATTTAGATAATATGTTTTTCAATCAAGAATTTTTTTAATTGAAACCCATAAAATGTTGGCCTCTAGTGAACAGCATTTCAAATGTTCACATAACCCACAGCTGCAGGCTGGGGATTAGCAAGAATCTTTCAGTGGGACTTTGCTTCTGAAAACAAACAGCTGATGCTGGAATTCCTGGGATTTTTCTATGGCCATAAGTTTAGAACTGCAAGCTAACCTCATTTTCTGCTAAAAAAAAAAATCAGGTCATAAAGTCATGCTTGACTTGCAGTTACTTAAATTTTCTTAATGGTTCAAAACACAACCAGAGAATCAATTAATCTGATTGAAATTAAAGATTTGGTAAAATCAGTAGCACTGTTTTGAACTTCTAAAGGAAGACTGTCCAGGGTACAGAATATACAGCTTCATGGAAACCTCAACTGGATCTCTATGGCAGTGTCACTGAAAGCACTTGTTGGGAAAAACGAACCAAAATGAAAAACCACCCTCATGCCCCCCTCAAAAACATGCCTTGCATATTTACAAGTTGTTAAATGCATTTCCTAATTTGAGGATACCATACTCTAATTATTATTAATCTAGTCTAAGGGCTTGTTAGTGCAAATCACTGTTTCACTGCCATGCAAAGAATTTCCTACTCTACAAAAAAAAAAAAAAAAAAAAAAAAAAACCTGACACACAGAATGTTGTCAGAAAATTATTAAGTGTGGCATGAATGGAAATGGAGGGAATCAATGATCATGCTCTATTACTTTTATGTCATTGTATTAGTCATTCATTCTCACTACTGACTACTGATTAAAGGCTGATATTGTTGGGTAATGAAGGGAGGCATGTGATATGTGCAGGAAGTACCTTATATCCAAGCCAGTAAGCCCAAACAACAGCAATAGCATGTTTATTTCTAGCCTCCTCCTTCAGTCGTCTGAGTTCCCTTCGCGCCTGTGATGCATTTGAAAATGGGATATAGAGAAGCTTAGGGAAGAAAAGGTTACTGCAAGTTCCCAGTGGTGGAAGAAAGAAAGGAAGAAAGGAACCGGTCACCACGAACAGTAAATACAAAAGCGTGTCCCAGCTTCCCCGGCACAGCAGCTGAAACGTGTTAGCAGCAAAGAGAGATCAAAAGTCAGCAGTTAAGCAACCAAAATATTCCCACATGACTTTATCCTGAAAGGCCTTCCTCATCCTACAGGGGAGAAACAATCAACAAGGAAATGCAGAGCTTTTTGCCATTTCCTTACCTGGGTGCCGTGCCAATAAGCAGCAATGATTGTGGCCGCCTCATTGCAACGTTTCTGGTGCTTAAGCTCTCGGAGAAGCTTCCGAGCCTGGGACCAGTGGAAAAACAAGGTTTTATTCCCCAAATCAGAAATCACTTAGCGATTTTAAGCTAAGCCTCTGTAAGCTGCAAATCTAAGGAAAGCCAAGCCACAGTGCCTCCAAATACCCAAAGAAATCAATTCATAAATACTGTGGAGCTGCATGAGCCCAGTTCTCCATCCATCTACGTGTGCAGCGGCAATGATACGCTTTCCCCACATGGCAGATAACCGATTTAGATTGCAAAAAACAGTAATTGCAAGTTTTGCACTGGTTGTATTAAGAGCTGCAGTTGCTCTCATGTGAGCTGTTAACCTCCTTTCTTTCTCTTTTACAGAACCACTCCTGAAGCTTCTGTTACGGCTGCAGGATTCTTCCCTCGTGCAGCAAAAAAGACTTGGAGAAGCGGCAAGTAGCAGCAAACTGAGGCAGAAGACAAACAAGCAAGCACTAGTGTAGCACAGTGCCACGGTTTGGGTGTTCCTTAGCCCAGGCTACCAGCAGAAATCCCAAGTTCATATTTTCTGAGGCAAAGAACAGTGCCTATCCATAGCACAGTTCCCTCGCCTGCTCCACACGCCACAGGCAGGCACAGCCACAGGAAACTCACCTTCCACCCTCGGATGTACGACTGTACCGTAATAGCTGAGCTCTTCGTCTTCTGATACTTCTTCTGTTGCTGTAGGGACAAGAAATATATTACACTTATTAGAACAGAATATTACAACTGCAGAATACTGTGTAAGATACGTGTTACTAACATGTGGAAATACAACACCAAATACTGATGGTACTGAAGGAGAAAAAGAAAAATGGGATTCTTGACTGTAGTGCTGGAACGCTCTCCACGCGTGCCAGTTTGAACAATAAATTTCCTGGATGACAATGTGAATTTGGTCACGTATTTGTTTTCCTCTACTTATGTCAAACAGTGTTCCAAAACCGTGGTAACTCCATTTTTAATTCATTAGGACTGTACGTTAGTAATGAAGAAACATGGCTCTAATGCAATTTTATAATAATGCTGGTTTGAGAAACACTGTGAATGTAATCCCCAATTCAGACAGAAGAGTTTTGCAGTGTACAAACATTTACACTCTGGTATAAGTAACCACACTATCCACATCCATATCCTAACTATCCATATTTTTCTCTAATTATCCAAGATTAGAAACCAAACCCTAAAGACTTTCAAGATGATACACAGAAGTGCACGTCAACTGGAAAATAGTAATTGCCGATCCTGCAACTTCTAGTTTAAGGAGATGCCTTTTAATTTTTTTTTTCCTGTGTCACACAATATTTTATCATGTTTTCTGATACACACACAAAGCTTTGGATAGAAAGGAAATGCACCTGAGACATTTGGTTTTCTTTTTAAACTTAAAATCAGTAAATCTTAAACTTTAAATCAGTAAATCAGCTGCAGGACTCTGCTCAGCCTTTTCACCACCTGAGCACGAAGGAAACGCTTAATAGTGCCCCACAGAAAGCACATTTTCCATTGTGCACATTTCTGCTGCTTAAATACTAATACAAAACTCGATTCTTTTAAACACTTCTTGTATGTATCAAGGAAGAAAACGAGAACTTTGATTAAACAATAAAAAGACCCCCCATTTAGTAAGGATGGTATCTTACTGCATATCTCCTGTACCAGGAGGCAATCACAATCTGGCTCTTCTTCATTAACAAGAAGCGTGTGCGGCACTTCCAGCCTCTATAAATCTTCTCAATGAGAGTGGCCAAGTCCTCCAAGCGCCGCTTTCTCAGATCCTCTAGCTTGAAGAGCTGGGCGTATATTGTAGGGTTTTGACATTAGGAGAAAAATAGCAGAAAAGACCAAAAAAACAGATAAGCACAAGCATAAATAGATATTTTAATTAATAACATAATTATTTGAAGAGAAACTTCTCCTTACTTAAGCCCTCCTTCAACACCTTTTAGTTTATTCCCCTCCACAGCTGTCCTCAGACACACGGATGGGATTCAGCGCATGCAGATTACATTAAACTCCATCTGGCAAATAGTGTATAGTCCTGATTGCCTCTCAGTTTCATCAGTGCTGATTCACATCAATTTCAACAGGTCCAACATGAAACAGTGCGTTTTTTAATGCTATATCCCACACCACTCTAGCAAAGCACCCTATCTAGGGAATTCTGCAGTAATCCGGCAGGGAATTCTGCAGTTCATGGCACGCTATCCTCATGCAGAATGCCTTGATTTTGCAGGGAAGACCTTTTTCACTTACTGTTCTTGGGTTGCGGATGAATATCTTTGATCTACCAAATGAAAATTCTTCTTCAGGGATTTCCAATTCATTAAACAGTACCTCTACACCAGCCCTAATAAGAAGAAAATGAGCTTAACAAATACGAGCCAAGCACTCAGACTTCTTAGTTTACATATTCAGAGTTTAAATTGTGGAAAGTGTAGGAAAGCACATTTTAAATTCTTAAGTAGTGCTTGACATAAGAAGATTGAAAATCTAGCTCATTTACTCACTGGTTATTTAACTAAAGGCAAGAATGATCGCTGTAAAGATTCAGGATAATTTGATGAAAAAAGGAGCAATTTTCATTCAGCAGCCTCAGCACTGGCCTACTTTTCTCTTACTTAGAGGACACTGACAAGTTTGACACATGCTCATGTTCAAGGCTCTACCTACTGCCTTTTGTAAATGCTGAAAAAGAGGAGAGAGGAAAGGGAAAGACCTTCACGAGAGAGAGATGCGCTGTAGCTACCAATACTGCACTTCTACCATTACCTTGATTCACTTAAAAACTTAAATTGATGCTCAAGAGATCAATCCACCATGAGAGAAATGAGAAATCTAATTCAAATCACGGTTATGAACGACCACGTGAAAGAAAGAATTAAGAAAAGTGCATTTGCCTAACTAGCAAGTTACCTATAAAAATACACACAATCCTTGCTAATACTGTGCAATTTAAAATTATATCCTTAACATAACTGCTTTGCCAGAGGTATCATCTCATAGTTGCTCAGCAATCTACATCTAAAATTACTTCTGAAAGGTCAGAGGAAGACTGCATGACTGTCTTCAAAGGAATGGGTGCTACTATACTTAGAAAGCTGCTTATGAGAAGTCAGTGTCCTTCTGACCATCGCGGACAACCTAGCCATTTCCACGCACTTCAGTCTCTCTCTCAGGCCCCAATCAATAAAGGCTGCAATATATTTTATGTGATAAGAATATCACGCTTTCGTTCATTGCTCACATGCTCAATCTGCTTCAATAGCAGCTTAGTTTATCACTGAAATCATCTGCTTTGCCAGGGAAAAGACCACTGAAAAGCAAACATTTCCTAGCAGTAAAATGCCTGGCCGGACTGCTAGGTGATGAATTCACTTACTCGTTACCTAACTTCTAAAATATTTGCATTTTGAAAAGGAAAAACGGGAAGAAGAAACCGGAGCGGAAGATGCTCCTTTCTATTCCCCGAGACGCGGCAGGCGGGAACGCCACCGCTTCCTCACCTGGCTGCTCCTCTCCAGCGGGGCCACGTCTGCTTGCAGAGCATTTTGTACCTCTCGAGGCAGGGCTCGTACGCCTGGCGGAACGCGTAGCCCGCGCGGCGCACGCGCACGTTCTCCAGCAGCCCCAGGTACCGGATCTGGTGGCACACGAGGGCCTCGTTGAAAACGTGGGCAGCCTTCTTGTCATTGGGCTTGATGCACCTGGGAAGCGACGGACATTGCAAGGACGTTGGTTTGACCGTACGCGACTTACCCCAGGATATCAACAGGCTGTTTCTAACTGACCTACTTTCAAACCAAAGAGTTATGAGCGTGTAAGCTGTTTTTAATTTCTTAATTAACAGAAGGCTGCAAGACACTGTCATGATTAAACAACATCTACGCATGTATGTATTTGTTCATGTATCATAATCAGCACACCGTGCTCCAGAGCTGCTCCCCGCCAGGGAAACTGCAGGAAGCAGCTTCCTGCAGCAGAGTAAATATGATGGCAGAGAGTAAAAATCAGCAGATAACCAGCAGATTGAATTGACACAGGTGATTACCAAGACATTTATTAACGCATGTGCATCTCCAGAAGCATCCTTTCAGATCTCCCAAAGATTTTATTTCATCCAAATCCAGGTGCTGCTTCACCCAAGCTTTACCCCCGGGTAAGTTACCTAATGTAGTTGGGATTTTTCGTCTGCAGATTTTTCATGAGGGTGGCGACTGAAGCCTTGAATTGTGAACCTGCTGTTGGTGGTCTCTTCAGGTTGATCTTGGCCGGGTTTCCTTCTGGGAACAAGGCTTTAATAAGAGAGTGACTGGCCTTCCACATGGCCTGGGAGAGGTCACGGTACAGAAGATCATTGTTTTTGTCAACAAATCCTTCCACCTGGTACATCACCTAACAACAGAGAAAAGCCTGTCACCAGAGCAAAGGCTGCACTGCAATACAGGCTGGTTCTAATTTACCAAAAAACAGCTTTCCCCTTCTTTCCCACTATTAAATAATAATAGAAAACACCCAAATCCAAGATACGTTTCAGTTTTCATTTTATATTTGACATGAGATCTTTTTGTTATGAAATAACTTTGTAACTTCTTGAGAAAAAAAATATATTTTCTCATACTGCCAGCAGCTTCTTTTTTTGATTGATCCCAGGATCTAAAGAAAAAAAACTTTTTTCCCTCTGAGAATTTTGATACACCTCTCGTCTATACTGTGAGGCAATTCTTTTTTAGGGGGATGACATGACGTTTTCAGCAGAAATATCCTTTCCCTTCCAGACACTAATGCCTGCCTTATTCATCTACCCAAAGCAAGACATTCAGCATCACCTGTGAAGCTTGTGTGATCTCAGGCACTCAGGGCCGTTCCCAGGGGCCTGCTGCTTTAACGGCCTCCTGCAAGGGAGCGGGGCCAAGCACAACAAACATCCCTGCAAAGATCTGACGGGCAGCTGGAGGCGCCGGAAGCCTCCGAGAAACTTCACTGAGATCTCCAGGAGCAGACTTACGTTTCATAATAGAAGAGGCAAACTTTTGTTGTCCAGTCACTAGATCAAAATGTTCTCAGCTGAGGATGGAAAAAGCCCCAAAATAGTTGGAATTCACTGAGTGCTCTGTGAAGTCAGTGACTGCCAGGAGCACCTGGAGACCCTTCCTGGCTGCTGGAGCCCATTTGCAAGCTTCTCCAAGCACTCCAGTGCTTCAGCATATTTGACTCATCCCGAATTTTGGCCACCACAGAATGAGCTGAGAATCCCACCACAGAATTAGTCCCTGATGGATTATACCCAATTGCAGACTCATTAGCAAATTATATAACATAATGCTACTATACGGCTACCTCGTAGGGTGATGGGATCATGATTGGGCATTTCCAGTGCCACCACTTTTACAGAAAATACAACTGAACGAACAAACTGTCAAGCTACATGAATATTCACAATACTGAGAAAGCATCCAAAGCTACAGACGAATTTCACAGCCCTAGGAAAACAAAACACTTCCCAAATCTCCTTCATTCCTTGAAATTAACAGGTTGGCAAATTCAAACTGGAAGTATAGTTTCAACTTCTATTTTGACTTTTTTGAAAGCTCAAAGATAAGTTGCCTTCCTCATACAGACTTAATGATTTTCATTTTTATTAATAAAAAGCGATACTGAATTATCCATCATGTAGCTTTATCGGACTTGTATTTAGTCAGATTATATATCCTAGCAAAAAGCAAAATGCATTTATGAGCCCTCTGCACAGCCTCCTCATCCATCTGCCTAACTGCACCGACTTTTAACATACACTCACTTCCTTCACATTTATAATCTACTCTCTCGTCACAATAACTAAGTATTTTTGCTAATTTAGTGACAAAGAACATGTTTTTTGAAGTACCTTGCCTTCAAATGTGTGTGTATTTTTGCCGTTTTGAAAGACAGGTCTCTTGTTTTCAGAGACGTAGCACTACAAGTATTTTATCACCGAAGCATGTGGGAAGGGGATTCCGCCCTTCAACGAGCGCAGCACGAGCTCTCAAAGATCTCCAGCCAAAATTACACATTTCAGGCTCAAGCCTGAGAAGCTGCTGCCCCGGGAATACCTTGCCGGCGTAATGCTGGATGCGAAAGCAGCTGTGAGGCAAGGAGGTGTCGTTGAGGAAGCGCGAGCACTTGCTCATCCTGCTCTCAAAATGCTGATGAGTGGCGCAGACTTGGTTCAGCTTCTCCAGAAAGGTCTCGTCGGTGACGGTCCCGGGTCTCAGGCACTCTTCGTCGAGCATGGCCAGAATTCCCGTTTGGTTCTGAGGTTTAAAAACAAGACGTTTGCAGTTTTAACGTTTGTTCCCAGCATGTTTGCAACAACACAAGACAAAGGAGAGCCCTCTCCTGCCTCACTCACTTCTGCCACCCAGAAATGCGGTTTCAAGCTTTCTCACAGTTTAGCCAGCTCTCTTTTCCTATTTTCCACATATTTTCAGCATCAGTGTTTTTTGAAAGATTGCTTCTGAGATTTGAATTTTATGACTTTTTACTTTTAAAATTTCATGTCATTTAAGCAGTCTGTAAAATCTCCAATTTAAGAAAAAGTAGTCAGATTAGGGGTAAAGCCAGCATCCGTTTTATATTAATCACAAAACAGTTCTGTTTTCACTGTCAAAGGATTTTATCCTTCTTGTCACACTAACTCCATAGCAATCCTCAGTAGGTATAGGCACCAGCTGTATTAGAAGCATTCAGTGAATGAGCCACTGAATTCTCTGGTCCCAGATAAAAACATGCTATTTGCAATAATGCAATAGTTTCTAATGAAAATAGCACAAAATGTAAATACTTTAGGGTTTTTTTTCTTTATTTTTGCTGGATGTTTGTAAGACAGAACAACAGCAAATAGCCACATCCTTCCCAAAATACGTATTTTTTCAGTAAGACAATCTCCTAACACACAAAATAAAATGATTAATATAGAGTGGCTTGCTTGCTGACAAAACCAAAGTGCTATCACTGCAGTGAGGGTGAGGGCAGGGTTTACAGCTAAATTCAATATACGCATTAAAAACTGCTCGTAAAGATACTTGAGCATAACTTACATTTTCTATTAGGTCACAAATTATAGCGTTGTTGAAATACTCAATGTGAGTCCATTCGATCCCCTAGAAGAAATAAAAAAAGCATGAACAGAAAAACAGTTGAAGATGCTGTTTTCTCTAGACAATTTAAACCGCATTCCAGCTAACTAAGCTGCTATTTTAGAACTCAGTTCTATATGCTTACCAACACTTTATTTATTAAGAAAAAAAAGAAAAAAAAGCAGCAATCATCTCCCGCTAACATTATGTGCGCAACTCGCGTGCCCTTGGGCGGCCGCCAGCCCTGCTTCCCATTCCATCCCCGACCGGTGTCAGCTTCCCATGCACTTGGCTGGAAAAGCGCCAGCGCCTGATCCCGCAAGGCCCGGGGTCCCAGCGCGCGTAAGGAAACAGAGTCCATTCCAGCACAAGCATCTGAGAGCAAAATTTCTAAGCTCTTGGGTTTCTTTTTTTTTCTTGAAAAGGAGGAAGAAAAAGCTATATTTAGATGAGACCATCTGAAGAATGCAGTCTGGCTAGTGTTCAGATATTCCTAATATCTTTTGTTTTTTTTTCAAAATATCAGCAGGGAAAGTGTCAGGATAAAAGGCCAGTGCAACTAGAGAAACCGGAGGCAGAGTAAAGAACTGGAAAAGAAAAATAAAATCATTTTTTATTTGCATTCTGCAAACACTATTTAATTCTTCAGACTGTCTGAGATATAATTCAATAAGCAAATTGCAGTAATTATAATTCAAGAGTTTCACCAAGGAATGCAAAAAGAAGAGACCTGTCAAGCCTTTGTGTTACCCATCAGATTACAAGGCAGGTACTTCATTCAATTTTCAAAAATGTTTACACAGCAAAACGGCTCCATCCGATTTGAGTACAGAAAACACGTGCCAGTTTCTATACTTGCGAACAGATATTTTGCCCGAGCTGTTTATCATGGAAGTCCTGCTAAAACATATGAGAACTTTAGCCTGAAACCCTTAAAACTTAAGCTGATCACCTCCGTTTCCAAAGAGAATAAACTCACCAGCCCTTGCTCAGAACTTACCGTTCACCGCTGCCAACCACACGTCTACACGAAGGTTTGCTTTGCCTTATGCCCACAGAGCTCATGATGTGCAGCAGAACCCCAAGTGATTTATTTGGCTCAATTTAGCTACCACGTAGACCTAGAAAGCCACGCTCCCCGGCAGGGCCACCCTCCGACGTGGGCGCGCACTCGGGACACCGGGGAGGGGGGACCGACTCCGGGATTACCTCTCGGATGTATTCCTCCTGCTCTTCCTTGAGCGTCAGTTCAATGAAGATCTGCTGCAGCTTCTCATTGCAGTAGTTGATAATGAACTGCTCGAAGCTGTTGTCCTGCCAGATAAAAGACGCTTGAGCGGGGCTGCTGTGCCAACGTGCTGCAATCCACCCGCAGGGAGCTGCCTCCCTAACTGCTCCTGCTACCCTGAGATGTTCTACGGAGAAGCTGACTGGTTTGGAAACCTCGGATCAAACCCTTCCTGAGCCTTTCTTCACTGGAAGAGACCACAGACCTGTAGAGTTCTTCTTTATGATGCTTCTGTAGCAGTTGCTTGGGAAAAGTCATACGGATACCTGCGCTGCCAGGGAATAAACAACCAAGTTTTGCCTGCGCTAGTCTATCCCCCTGTGCAAAATATGGTCTGCTAGTTCTGATAAACGAGATTCTGTCAGTGGCACGAGCTCTTTCCTGACAAGAATCTCACGGAATAAAGGAAGGTATCCGACTTCCCTACAAACTGAGGCCCAAGCTGCTACGCTGGCTGTGGCTGAGCCGGGGTTAAGAGAAGATTGGCTCCAGACACCAACACTGCCTCCTCCCTGCCAAAAAAACCTTCACGTAACTGCCCCCGAAAATGCTGGGAATTTAAAGAACTCTGTCAACCAAAAGCTTTCGATGGGATAATCCATATAAAACTAGGTTAGGGAGCAAGCACGTGTGCAGCAAATTGCAGAAGAGCCTGGGAAATTGGGTAGAAATAGGGAAAGTGAGATGGGCAGTGGCGAGGCAACCTAGTTCTACATTAGACTCATTAACAGTAGCAGAATTTTCTCCATATATCCCCAGAAATAACTGCAATCTAGAGTAAGTTCGCACAGCCATTTCTGGTCTCTTCCTCTGGCCTTTGGTAGTTGATTGTTTTATTATTATTATTATTACTAGTCATTAAGACAACACTTCTAGTTATGTTCTAGTTCTAGTTATGATGCTGGAATCTTTATGACTAGGGGTAACTATAGGCATTTAAATGTTTGAACTTAGAATCTGGTTGCTGAATATTAGGAGCACACAAGCGGATTAGAAAATATTAAGATAGCACAACTTATTTTTATCATTTTGGTTTAAGTAAAGCAAAATCATAGCTGATCACCACACTTTTTTTGCAGCCACATCAAATTCCGCCCCTCATACCCACCCCAATTATCCATCAGAGATTGCAGCACTCGCATAGATCTAGACAAGAAAGCTAAAATTTTGCATGCACCAAAATCAGCACTGCAAACAAGTCATACTTACTGCATTCTGTTGCAAAAAGAAATTGCATAAACTGCCATCAGTACTCACACAATTTCCATAGTAACACAGAATACAAAGAGACTATTAGCATTTGTTCAGTGCGCCAAGTAGATGAGTGTTTTTATCAGACTCATATTTGTCTGTCACTCTGAAAATGTAAAGTGCTACAAAACGGTTACATGTCACACTTCTATAGAGGGGTGCATCTCTAGGTGCTATCCCAAGATTATCAAATAAAGCAGGGGATTGAGGCACATCCAAAGTAAACACGGAGCAGTGCTCTTGCCTTGTCACGTCCATAAATCGGTGTGCACCATTTGTCTGAAAATGCCACATATGCAGCCTTTGGCTGATGCATTTTAGTGAAGGAACGGTGCAGAAAGAGAGGAGTGCAAGGAAAAACAGCTAAAAGTGTATTCGACACATACAGAAAAAGTAAATATATCTAAACATACAGAAAAAGTAAATATATCTAAGGTGATGGCCTTGAAGTGAAGAGGCCCAAAGTGACACAGCACCTTCAAAAGGAGGCAGGGAAAACAGAGTCAAATCCTCCTGAGAGATCCATGTCACCCATTGCACTAAGATGCCTCTCCCAAACACTGTGTTCTTCTTTTTAGGAGAACAGCAGGATTTTTAATTTACATATTATATACAATCTTCATCTTCAAAACCAGAGGGACAGCAAAAGGCCACTCCAGCTAAACCAGCCAACTAGAGGGTCCATTTGCAACATACTAAAGTAATTGCTAGACGCTTCCTGATTTGAAGTATCTTATGCTTATTTGAAGTATCTTATGGCTATGACATTGCGGTTTGCCACAGAAGAGCAAACCACAACGTTCTTCACAAATCACTTCAGTGGAAATTCTATCTGAAGTTGCCAAAATATTGAAAATTGCTATAAAATTGCTATTGTGGGGGGAAAAAAACCATTGAACAACAGTAGTAATTTTAGTGTAGGTGGGCAAGTCAGAACGCAAAAGGCTGAGAGTTCATCTGCTGCTCTGATGCTGAGAGCATTAATTCAATCACTGCATTTCCAAAAGATCTGTTGGAAGCCACTGTGGAATACATAATATCCACACATAATGCCCCCTTTGGAAAGGGGAAAAAAAACCCCTTGGTCTCTCAGATTTAATCAGAGGGGCCAGGAAACAGCACGCCACCGAGACAGGTTTAACGTCACGTCAAACTGATGGAGAGAGATGAAACAAGCACCCCCAGCTTATCCTCTCCATCTTCATCAGGTGCAACAATGAATGCAGACAACGAGTAGAAAGGATTTAGTGAGGAAAACCAAAGCCTAGTTCATTATATTTCTCACTTTACAAATAATGGTCTTGATCA